TACTACTACTACTACTACTACTACTACTACTACTACTACTACTACTATACTACCAGGACCACTACTACTACTACTACTACTACTACTACTACTACTACTACTTCGACTACTACTACTACTACTAATTACTACTAATTACTACTACTAATTACCACCACTACTACTACTACCACCACCACTACTACTACTTAACGACGACTACCACTTCTTCTTCTACTACTACTACTATTCAAACCCCGTCCATGGTTTGCTAGGGAGGGGGGTGGACGGTTTACTCTTTAGGATCCAACCTCGATGTGGTCTGAGAGAAAGCGAGCAGAACAGGTGGCACCGATGTCTGGTGAGATGGTGATAGCTTCCAGACCTCACTGCTGTCGCAGTAGAGTAGCTGGGCATTCTCTTGTGGGCCGATGGTCGTGGCGCGTGGCGCGAGCACTGCGGGAATTGATTTCAAGCTTGATCGAACGCACAATTTCGAATGTATTTCTTCATGGTCCTGGTACGTTCAAGTCTGTGGAGGTACGTTCAAGGCCTGCTTGATTGAACTGGTTGCCCCAGAACTGGTGCTGCTACCTTTGGGCCGAGTTGCATCGTGCAAACAGTTGATCTGAATGTAATTCCTTCAGATGGCCCATTTTTGTGCACTGTTTTCCCTGGATATTGCAAGAGTATGCTGAGAAACTTGGAGTGGACAAAGCTGAAGCTTACTGTCGGTGCTGACACCGTAGCCGTCGGCTTTCAACAAACACCCTGGGAGTCCAGGACTATTCTTGCCCCGAGTCGAAGAAGGTCCTTTCGGTGGTCCCCCAACCAAATTTGAAAAACTGAAAAACAAAAAAAACATGTAAAAAGACCAACACATCATAAACAGGTGGACTATGGTGGACTTCAGGTCCGGCACAGGTCGACTTCCCAAACCAAGGGAACCGGTGACGAGCGACTCCCTCCACTGGGCCGGTCCCACAAGCCGTTCAGCCGCAGGATCCGAAGCTGGCTGTGCTTCGCAGACAGGGCCTGGGCGTGGAGCTCTTCGCCACGAACGGTGCGGAGACGTGGAGGTTCCAAGGCGGAGGGAGAGCCTTCTGTTTTTGAGCCCAGAAATTCGACATGCTGAAAGGCGAAAGCATGAGGGGATGAAAAATACATTGACTATCTAGTTTACGAAGAGGGACGTCGGCAGAAGTCCTGCCCTCTGATCATGTTTGGGTTTCCAGGTTCAATTATCACCCTCATGAACACTCACGTCGGACTCACGTTGACCCTCGAGAGTGGATACTTGTCTACTGTTCATTCCTCTTTTAGGACCGCTGCTTTTGGGGTCGTCTGAAAAAGTGGAACAGTGGCCGTTGGCTCCTCGACCGAGCTCAGGAATGAAAGGAATTCTAAAGCTGGCGGTTTCGAACCACAAACAGCTCCAAAAGAAAAGAGAAGATCCTACATCCCTGCGGAAGGAGATCCCAGCCCGGGTACGAACGGCTCAGTGGCCTCACAATGAGGTCGTTGGTCGCTGAACCGGTGCGCGATAAATAACGGCGCGTTGGTTTGGTCGATCGGTGGGTCTCCCAGGGGCGTAGATTCATGGCTTTTTATGTTGCTGGAGTAGGCTGGGGTGAGAGTGTTAAAAAAGGCAACATGATGGGTTCCTTACTGGGATGCATGGTGGGCAAATGGCCCAAGGCTTTTTGGGCAGCGCCACAAGACTTGAAACCGATGGTGCCACCCAGTTCAGCTGCCCCCAGCATCAGGACCCAATGTGTAGATGGCAATGAACTATTCACTATCACAAGTCAATTAATTCTCCAATCTTAACAGTGACTGACTGAGTGACTAAATACATCCCCTCTCCACTCGCACAGGGAATTCTCCCAAGGTTCATTGTCCAAGAGAGCCCATGCCCACGGGCCAGAAAAGCCCGGGAGGAGCGACCCTGAATTTCATATCCCCAGTCTCCAGCTGTTAGAAGAAGCTTCTCCTACCACCTAAGATCAACTGTTTTCTTTTTCAGGAAATGGACCTGGGTGAGCTAAACGAGGGCAAGGCAGTGTTGTGTCGAACTCTTCCACACGCACAATGCTCAAAAATACATGGCATCATTTAAGTCCCTTTCTTTCTTCTCTGTGCTGCATATCGTTTAGACCTTAGAGCACCAAAACTGAACACATCGGGAACCAAAACTGAACACATCGACCTTTCTATCACAAGGTCTAAACCTTTAAACCAGTCCACCTCACCTCAGGCCTCCCGGCCGCCCCCGCCAGCGCCGAGGCGGTGCCCGACGCAGCCAGAGCTGCGACGAATCGGCTCGGTGGCCGGGTGGTCGTGGCCGGCCAGGGCGGGTGGCCGGTGGGCCGGTGATGAGTTACACTTGAGCTGATCAAACAAATGCAAAAAACATCTGGCCGGTGGCCGGGTGGAGATGGTTGACCACAGCATTACTCACCAACGAAGTGAAGAAAAACATCGACGTTCAGATTTCATGTGACGTCGGGGCCAATGAGGCCATTCACTACAAAATGCATGGCTACAAGGGCTGGTTTCTTACAAAATGATTGGCTGACGTGTAGTAAAACAAGCATTCTATAACATGCATATAACATGCATATAAATGCCAGATAGATCATGATAGCAAAACAATGTTTTATAGATTTTTATAGAATGATTTTTCGGAGGCATATGGCAGGCATTCTCACGAAATGCATCTGTTACAACATGGATGGCGACAACGTTGATACATACCGACATGTCCACCACAAACTTCATACAAAGTTAGGGGCCTAAACGTCATTTCCCATTGCCTATTACAAAAGGGTTGGCCTAAACGTCATTGTCTTATCAGAAAAACGCTGTTATAAGGGCCTTGAGGTCACCCATTCTATCGGGGAAATGTTGACGTTGATAGAAAAACACAAATAACACACCCTCTTCGCAAAGGAAAGTCGTCTGAAAAAGGGACCATGCCATCCAGGGAACCCATGGAAGGCGAGTCGGAGTGTACCCATGTGACCACGTGGAACCTGTCCTGAACACAAACATCGCTGGAAAATGGATCTGTCAGGGGACACCTTGAACTCATTTGAGCAAGCTGCGCAACGGCAGCATCATGCAGCATCCACCCCTATTGTTGGACACCCTTAGGGGGCCCTGGTGGTTGTTTTGGTGCGAAATCACATCCAGCAGTGTTCTTCGTCAACTCATGGGTTTCTCCTTTTCGACCAACAAAGATTCGGACATTATCCAGGGATCATTTCTCGGAACCCCGGAGACAGTCCCAACTCAACCACTTAATGATGTAAAGGATCTCAATTGCCCGGAACCGCCAAATCTTTCTAGTTGGGACTGGGTCTTTAGTATTTATATAGATGTCTCTAGTCTCTAGGAGTCTCTGAATTTCTTCGGCGAATCAAGGCCCGGCGATGTCTTCAGTGTCTTCCGGCTCTACACTCGTCGCAGCAACAGTAGGGTGCTGAGGCTACTCGTACGTAACTGATTGGGAGGCCTAATGTTTTGCCGAGTTGAACTGACATCTCAACTCATTGAATGCGACAAAGCTTTGCCCCGATTTCGCCCCGCCATATCACATCTGCAACAATAAGTAAGCTTAGACTACAGTGATCTCAGTAGGTGGCACATGGTCCTGAGAAGTGGGTCATAGAGTCATACAGTACAACGTGGGTTCCATCTCAAAATGGACTATGAGATATGAGATTTGTGCCATCTGATTCTTTTTTGTGGCTCAAAGTGTCCAGCATGGTCCAGCCTGGCCCAGCCATTGGTGTCTTCTTCCGGATCACCCGTTGCTTGGCCGGTACCGCTTCCCCAGCACCGGTCTGGTCCACGCGTGGAACGCGTGGATGGCGCGCTTTGCTCGGCCTAGCATGGCGTTCACGTCCACCAACTCGTGCAGCTGATCACCGGCCAGGGGCTCCTGAACACCACCAGGAACCACCGTGGTATGTTTCGGGGCATTTCGGTTGAGGTCACCAGGTCATGATTCTTTGGGAGGTTCAGAAGTGAAGTCCATCTTCCTGGATTCATTGAGCTGAGCTAGGTGGTACCTTTTAAAACCAGTTGGAGACCTGACAACTGCACTTGGAAAGGTGTCGAAATGCCAACGGTGAAAGCGAATCGAATTATGGACACCTTTTTCCGATTCGTGGCGCAGATTTGAGAGATTTGTGAGAGCAGGTTCAATGGCGCAGTTGAGTCCTGCTTTTCCACCTATATACAGTAACTCCGGGGAGACTACTTAGCTGTGGGGTATAAGCAATTGACTCAAAGTTCTGCTTGATGATGACAAAAGCCTACGGGACCAACCACTTGTTTCGCACTGTGGTGGAAACTGCCGTCGTACACAGAAAGTAATTATCTAGGATATTCTAGCAAGGGCTGCAAACCGTGGGAAGTTCAGAAATTATCGATGTATACATAGATGTGTACCACAGGTTGTGCTGAGGAAAATCATAGTAGGCAAAACACAACGTGTTTTTTCCCGTTGAATGATGTATTGCCTAGACATCCTATAGACATTGTTTATGGTTGAGATCTGCAGGAGAAGCGTTCTCGGCCTTGCTTTTTATTGGTTCTACTTTGTATTCCTCCCTATGCCCGAGGTTTGACACCTGAAAATTCGATCCATGTATAGCAATGAACTCATTAATCCCGAGTACCTATTAAAAAACGGACCCCAATTAAAAAAAAGTCATGCCGGATCCCCTAAATTCGGTTTATATTTGGTTTTAAATTGCCGCCCTTTCAAGCCGCTACTAAACTACCAACATGGTCGATTTTGGGGGTAGTTTTTTTAATTAGGTTCCCCAAAACTCCACCATGACACGCCGCGCTTACACCAGCAGGCTTTCCTTCCCTCAATGGCACGGACTCACGCAAACGCACTTGCCACCGAGGTCATGCAACACCGCATGGCACAGCGACATCACCTTTCGAAAGCTTTAGCTTTTAGTCTACTGAAGAATCACTATTCTAATGAAGGTTTTTGTAGGGGAAAAGGAAGACCCTTCGATCTGGCGGTTTTTTGCATTTTTGATATGAGTTTAATAAAGGATTTTATATAAAATTTTCCTGGATTACTTTTTGGTTTTGAAACTCTTTCCAGGTGACCCTATTTTGGGCCCCCGATTTCAGGGACCCCCTATTAGAAAAAATGCGACCGAGGTTTCCTTATTAGGGGGGGGGGGTACGTGTTTTTTATTAGGTGGACCGGATTAGAAGACACGCCTACCCGTGTCTCCCGTGTGTAACTTTCGTCGTTATTCCAACACGAATTGCCGGACGTTCGATGTGTCTCCATCGTCAGCTATAAAATGTTGCCCACCAAATCTGATCTTGACCATCTGAGAACTGCCGTAAAATCTGGCAAAACTGAGGTATAGCATGCTATACCTAACAAGAACAGAAGTCAAGATCTTTGAAACTCAGTTATCTTGTTCTCCCAAAGCTTCGATCTGAGGCACAAACACTCGGGTCTGCCGCGTAGAGCGTCACAGACCTCGACGACTTCGGTGGGACGGTAGGACACGTGCTGACCCAATTGATCATTCTTGTGTGCGTATCATACATGCATCTGGTTTGTTTAACCCAAATAGGGGGTTGGTCGGCTGGACCTATGAAGCTAAACGTTGTGTGATTGGTTGTGGTTGGGTTAGTTGTGTGGATTTGTGTAGCTACAGTGACAACATTGAAGTCTTATCGGTCCTATCTCCCCGAGAAACATGTCGACGTTCCTGGCAGCTCATGAGTCCCCTCGAGCAACAACGCCTGGTTTGCCTGCATACTTGCCAACACAAGATGTTCTGTGCCAAAACGACACCAACAACAAAGCAAACCCAGATGTTGTATGAATACCACACCCCAATCTTGGCCAAACACTTTGTAGAATTGCCTCCATGCCCCAAATAGTCTAAAACCTCACACACACAATCAATTATGATATAAATTTCAACATCCCCCCTTGTGCGGTGTGTGCAACATACACTGATTGCAAAGGGCCCCCAAGTCAAGTGATCATTGACACGAGCACTCATTTCACCTTATTTTAGAAGAACTAGTACCAGCATTCACGCGTGGTGTGCAATGTAATTATTAAGGTTAAATTAACAAACATATTACATATATGTACTGTAAGCCATATAGAGGCAAACATGTTGCCATATAATATATTGCCCTGTGATACACTTTGACGCGCCGCTGCAATGATTGACTCCAAACAGTAAATGCCTCAAATCGCTCGAATGACAGTGGCCAACAAAACCCGACAACAATACAATCAAACCATTCAATCAAGTAGGAGACGCAAACCCAAAACCTAATACACAGCCGTCCAGCATTTCCACTGGTTTGGCCTGGAGACCTAGCCAACCATCGCTGTTTTCGTGCCAAGCTGACTTTGACCCAACCATCCATCCCAACATATCCCAACCTTAAACGAAGAGTTTCCATCGGACCGAGTGGACCTTTCGTTGCGACGCTCCGTCCCGGGTGGAGACGAGGTCGTCGAACCACGGGACCACGAGGTCGTCGGGGTGCCCTATCACATCCACTCACTTGGACACCGCATCAGGCGCCCCCGCATCAGCTGACGCACCGCCACACCGAAGACAGTGCTACCACAGGCCACCTGCCAGACGAATTCTTATCCGAAACATCTGCAAACCTGACGAACTGAGCTGTTGAATCACACTTAACCATCCACACATGCACCAAGTTTGCCGAATTTTTGCCGGGTAGATGTTTGCTTCGTCGAGTTGCTTTCTTTTTCAAAGCGAAAGTCGTCCCGACGACCACGGGCCAGCGATCGCGAGGTGGCTCCTTTTTTGTTGGATTCGCAGCGATAGGCATCTCTCTTAGCCTCACAGCGTCCCAAGGTGGCCTCGTCTGGAGAACGGTTCACTTGTGGTCCAGCCGCGGATTTTCGTTGCGGGTCACCCTAGGCCGGTCACCCCCTGCGGAGTTTGGGAACCTACGCCTAGCTCCAAAGTCCTCCACCTTCTTGCAAGTTGCGACCAATCTCCACCTTCTTTTTGTGCCCCTCAGAATCCTTGAGCCCTTTTGCCCGAGGGAGTTCCGGTCAACAGGTTGACCTGGCTGAAACGCATCTAATCTTCGATCGTACCAGGGGGATCTGACACGGTCTCTGGAAAAGCACTCCGTGACAGCCGACAGCTCAATACGTTCCTTCTCAGCCCACAGGGGGGTTCTCCCAATCATCCACTGACATCGGGAAAAACTGAACCACACCATTTTTCGGCACCACCAAGGGTCCCGAAGCACCTGCTTGAACGAAAATTTCTCCAGCGGCCATGCCCAAAAAAGGTCACCTTTTAAATACCTTGTCTGTCAGATCCTTCCTAGGCAGGCTCATCCAATGTGGCTTGTGATGTGCAAAAAAAGACTAGGAGCATAGGGCATCGCTACTAGGAGCAAGGACGCTACGATCGGGGCTCGTGGCCATACTAGGAGCAAATAGCTATACTAGTAGTGTCCTTGCTACTAGGAGCAAAGGGCATCGCTTCAGATTCTCTCCTTTGGGGGGGTTAGTACCTCTTTTTTCACCGTGCCCGTGGAGACCTCCGCCCGTCGGTGCCGGCGACGGTCGGTGCTCAGTGGCCAAGTCCAGGAAGGCCGGCACATCAAAGCCGACTCGACAGGAGGCCACCTGAACATCGGGTAACCAAATTACATGGTGACCGGTGTATATAACATATGTATGCATACTGTATATAGTATGCATATATACAGTGGTATATAATGATGTTATGTTGTTTAAATTAAGTATATAAGTTTTAAAAATATAACTCATCAAAACGATATGTTGGCCCATTCGGAACTGTGCGGTCATTGACGTTTCTGGAGATGGTTTGATAGGTTTCTTGGAAACAGGTTTTGATTGACAGTGTAGTAAATGATCCGCAAACAGGCGAACAAATGACTCAGTCATTCATGCTTTGACCTTGTAAACTGCATGTGAAAAGCTTTGAACTAGGCAGGCAGCAATAAACAATCAAGAAATGTGTCTGCATGCATCCTCCTTCAGGAAAAAACACCTGCCTCTCTTCGGGATCTATGATCTATGTGATGTAATTAATGACTTCTCTGGTTCCCAAACCCTGCACGAAACCAGCATATGTTTTTTTCCCAAGCATCCATCACACCACCAGGGAGACTGGACTTCAGTTCCAAGCCACATCTTCCTCACTGAGTTCCTCGAGGTGCTGTTGCGGTGCTGCCATCACCCTGGGACACCTGCCGTAGCCCGGGCCGTTCCGTTTCCGGTGGATTGCACCGCCGAAGAGCGCGGTCTCATCCGTGGAAGCCGCCGAAAGCACAGTTGGCCGACAAGGTCTGAACCGTTCTGAGTACGTTACATCTGGATTTCCAAAATATGCAACATGTTGGCTTGTTGTATTCTTTTGTATTGAGACAAGGGCTGGTTACCATGTTGCATAGTTGGGAAGATCCAGGTATTCAAAGACCCGACACATTGGGGCTAAGCATGGATTGTAAGCCCTTGTGAAAGCAGTTTGGCTCCATTCTGTGCAGAACACCGCGTTTTGATTTGAACACCTGACACAGCCAAACAAATCAAACAGGCGCACACTGTTGCACACGGGGCCGATCCACAAGTTCCAGCCTTCCTTCCAACTCTCGCAAGAGTGTTTCAGTCCCGGACTTCTCCAGGATGTAGAGCTTCTCAAGGACCTTCCAGTGCCGGCTTGCAAGCTTGCCGACCGAGATCACTGCATGGGTGAAACGCGCAAGTTTGGAAGGTGCTAGAAGACTCCTCCACCTCCTCCACCGGTAGGATCTAGTCTATTTATCTTAATATTTATAGACTCTTGATTAATATTGAAAGCAATGTACACGATTGAATTATGACAGTATGAGAGGTTTAAGAATGGGGGGAAGTAATCAAGAGTACAATATTTTCTGCTGCTTGGTTACTTTCTCCCCAGATTCATTGCAAAGCAGCTGCTGCAAACCGTCGCATGGTTTGGGTATCTGTGAGGAGTGGATTCGGTCTTCGTAGTGATGTGAGCACAATACAGCAAACAACATAGCCATAGCCTGCCCATGTCTGCCTGGAGATTTACTTGTTTTGTATGACACATTGTTTCAACATTACAATTCCCCCATCATTGCCGGTGATTTGAACGAATAGAAAGGTTAGGTATTGCATGGTATTGCTGGTCAAATGGACGCTGGCCAGGAAAACAAACAGCAACACATCAATCTATACTTGCGAAATTCTGGCAGTGAATTCCCCACAGACTTCCCAAGTTTCCAGGTCTTAACCTGTCTCAATCTGCTTGCAATTGACTCAGTCACAGAAAAACACCATCTCTTTGGCAGAAAACCAGAAAACCCGCCCAAGTCCCGCCTAGTCGTCCAGCCTCTTTACCGGAGGCCGGCGATCGGTGGAGACGGGTGGAGACCGGACAGAACGTCGGAAGGCTTCCGGGCGACGCCTCGTTGTTCTGGGGCGACGCCTCCAGTTGACACACCTTCGACATCATGGCGCCATGGCCCAGCAGTGCCACCAAGAGCTCCGGCTCCTTTTGCGTGACGTGCCACGTGCGTTGAAGCGCCAAACAGGACGAGGGTGGTGGAACGAGGAACGCAGTGAACACATGACCAGCTGCACTCGAAGGTATGTGACCATGTTTGCGAACGTGTGTGCTTGCTGTGCAGAATTCTGCATTCGTGTGCTGCATTCTGAAGTGCATCTTCGCTGGATCATCTGAACAAGACAAGCAACACTAACAACATCTAGCAAGAAAAGAACCTTAGCTTAGCATGAAGCCGAGGCAGAACTGCCTTGACCCGCCTCCATTGCTTCATACTCCACGCGCTGAAAGCCTGGCCCTTCGCCTCAAAAGCGCCAACAGGTTGGACGTCGACGAGGTTTAACAAGACTCTAGCGCAATCGGCGTGCAAGCGGATCATCTATCCTGGACCGGAAAACTTCAGAACCAGAACCTTGCAAAAAGTTGGGAATATGCATCCTCGGACTCTCGATGCATATATATCATCATGTTCAGTGTCTAAACATCAACGAAAACTCCAGGATGCTACATACTTGGCTTTCATCTAGCCAATCACCAATAGTTAATCACCAACTTAGTGGATGTTAATTTAGCTGCAGCTTTAGCTATAACTATGCTATGGCTATAACTAACTATATATATTATTGCAGTGGCCTGAAGAAATGGAACCTTGGCCCCCAGGAGCTGAACCGTGTTTCCAGGGACCGCAAGGCGACCGTAGCGGACAAGGCAAGCGTCAAAGGACAAGGCGACCGTCAGCTCAAGTGGGCCATCTGGGCTGTGCCAATGATTTCCCTGGTTTTTGAGGTGTTCTTTCCTGAACATTTGGCACATGCAACTGTTCTACTGATGCCATCTGCTTGTGACTCCCCATAAACATCTATATAAACCCCTAAACCCTGCCATGGCTCGGTAGCTTCCGCTCGCCCATTGCAACGGGGCATCCTGGGATCGGTGGTGAAGAGACCTGGAGTCTCTGTTCGTACCCTACCTCGCAAAATGGGTACAGTCGTACCTGTGTTTTGAGTTGTTTCTTCTTTTTTTATTTTACATGGGGTAATGTACCATTTAAGGTACGACCGAAGTTGGGTGGTGAAAAGGGACCAATGTCTGCATATGTTACATGGAGTGTCTGGGGCTTGGTCAAATTGGATTGAAATTCACGAGGCACTCATTGAACAAGTTGTCTGACTGTCTTGTTCTTTTTTTGGGGGTGGTACGACTGAATCCTTCAGACGTCGAACTTTCTTCTCAAGATGTAATCACAACCCTCTCAGGTGCACAAACACTGCCATGTGTAGGCCCTAATTAGAGTGAATTTCATGAACCTGTGAACCTACCACCAATCGAATACCGAATACAGGCCCAATACCCATATCGTTACGTGATGACACCTACGTCCGCAAAAGCATACTTGAGCGATCCAACCCAATCCTCGTCGTTCTAAGCTCTAACTCACACGTTTCGATGCTTTCGTCCAACCCCAAAAGCATCTCCATCCACCATCGATGTCCGTCTCTTCGCAGCGACGTCGACGTTTTGTTCGGTTCGGAGTTCGGAGACCTCCAGTGGTTCGCAGAAGAATCCTTTGGGGTCGGTGTGGGTGTGGTTTTTAAGGAGACCCACCCGGGACCCCCTGGAAGAATGGACGATCAGTACACACCCGTGTCAGGTCGTGACGTGTGTGCCAAAACAAAAGGGCTCCGTCATGCTCCGTCTGTGAGGAAAGTGCCCGGGTGGGCGGACGAGGTCGCCATGGGTTCGTCACAGGATCTGATCTGATGACGTAGCATGGCCTCTACTCGCGATGGCCTCCACCTCATGATCCGTCTTTATGGTGAAACTTCTCGGTGTATTCTGTGTAGAATAGAATCAAACACCTCAGTGCAAACACCTAGGCTCAATGCTTTCGAAACTTGGATTTCATATGATTTCATATACCATCCAGTACGGATCGAGGTAATTGGACCCGAAGGTCTACTCCCTAAATCAGGTTCTATCGGCCGAACGAGGGATTCGACGTGCAGTCGAGTAAGTGATTGCAATATTCAAGATCGAGCAAGTGACCGGAGGGGCTCCTGCCCCAGATCCTCAGGTGGTTTGAGTTCACCCCCCAACACCCTCCCCAACCGCCGAACCGAAACGGAGGTCGTTGGAGCGCAACCATTAAGCAAAAGGAGACGGGTCGGACGGCTCGTTGGCGGGGGAGCTGCTAGTAGCGTCCTTGCTCCTAGTATAGCGATGCCCTTTGTTACTAGTAGCTTCTTGTTACTAGTAGTCATGCCCTTTGTCACTAGAGACTAGTGGCGATGCCCTTGCTACTAACATGAATCAAAAGAACATAGTCTTCCCAATTCCAATCCAAGCATCTGCCTCCAGCAACTCTTGCAGGTTCACGGGGCCATCAAGGCCTCTCTTCACACGAAGGGATGGTGAAGGCTACACTCGGATGCTCCGGAGTGCGGGCCTGTTAGGAAATTTGGACATGTGCCGCCTGTGTTTTCAATCACTTTTTTGGAGGACCTAAGCAAAGTCCCGCAGCACGAAACACATCTTGAGCACTTCAGTGGGAATGCTTGGTTAGTTCTTTGTCCTTTCCTCTCAGATGGGCTTGCCGGGTTAGTTGACATCTGAAAGACTCACTTTATCTCATTCAAATTCCTAGAGATCTGACTGGGACAATGAATCCAGCTGCATCAAAATTTCACAGATCCATTGCAAACACAAAGGACTGGTTTGTCGAAGGATTTGTTTTCACTCAACCAAGGAAGTCCTTGAAAGCAGAGCTCTCGTGTAGGTGCAAATATCTTGCCACAAACAAACGGATCCAACATGATCCAACCAAACAAGCTGGGAGCTCACAACATGCCAAAAGTCAACATACTTCTTGTGAGGAGCCAAGTCCAAAAAAAAGGAATTGATAAAATTAGAGAACTGCATGGTGAACTCCCTTCAAATCAATCAGGTGATTTGGGGCATTCCAGCGCCCCAAACGCTGAACAGGAGGGGTGTTGGTGAGCACCGGGCCTGGTACGACACACATTCAGAAGACCAGTTGTCGCCTGAGTTAGGGGTTGCGAACACACCACAAGTGCTCACACCATATTTTACTTGTAAACACTGCAAAGGACTACGAACATTGAAGGTCTAATCGTTTTTGCAGCGCATTGGGTCTCCGCAAGCATGTCCAATCGAAGTGGTGCAAGATATCCATCAACAGTAGCACTGGCAGTGGCCCCAACGAAAAAGCTTGCATTCATCCACTATACTACTGTCAACCAACCAGGGTCTCCTCAAAACAATACAATACACCGGAAAGTAGGGGGCAAAGCAAACTGAATCCTGGACCTCAAGCAAGTTCTGGACAGCAAGCTTCATCAAATGGTGTCTGTGGATTTCTGATGGGTTGATGACCGTAAATCTTCGGCCGGATCTTTGATAAGGCTAACTTGGACAGCTTGGACGCGGCATCCATTTCACTCTGCTCACCCCAAAGGAAAACTTAGCAGTTCCTACATATAGACATATAGGAACACCTGTTTGGCTCGACTCTTCTAAGTGGTGGTTTCAACTCGCTTGAAAAAACATGAGCCGGTGGGTTCAATCCCAAGAAAAAGTTGAACAACCATGCAAAGATCTGACACCACCACCCAGTGTTGCTTTCAAATCATTGGTCGAGGCAAATCCCAGTGGTTTCAACGTCGCAATAAAGATCGGTCGACTGAGGTCGCAGCCTTCATTGGGTCGGAGTGATGGCAGTAGTAGCAAGGCCAGAAATGCCTTGAACTTGGAGTACCTGACCCACCCACGCAACACTTTTCCCAGCAAACTGCATCTGGCCAAAAGCGTATTTTTGGAGAACATGGATGTTCTTGTGTTTCATGGAGTGATGGCACCTTAAAATAAGAACTTTCAGTCTTCAGGATCTGATGTCTTTGGAGAAACCGGCGGACCGGTGTTTTCGGTCGACCGGCTTTGTTCGACCGGAGGAAGGACTTCCGTCCAAAGCGTCGCCAGCAGTATCCCGTTCTTACTGATGCCTTCCAAAATTCCGCATATGTCTGCGGTCTGGCCAAGGGTGGGGATTTGCGTGGATTCTGCGCTGGTTTGGGTGGGGATTTGCGTGAAGAAAAAACGGTGTCCGACAAGGAAGAATGCCCAGAAACCGATAGCAGCTAATTGTAAATGTAACAGGGAATTACAGCAAAACAGAGGCGATCCCCCTCATGTAAATAACATCATAATAATGTAGACTCTTGATGTATAAGAACGGTTCATAAACCCTCCAATATGAAGAGGCTGTTCAATTGGAAAGGGTTTATGAATCAAACAGTCTGCAGCTCTTGGCCTTTGAAGATCTGGGTTCACCTCTCGCCAAGCGGCTGCTGCTCTAAGCGTGGCCAATGGCGGAAGCGTCGCAGATCCAGGTGCTCGCGTCGCAGTCCTTTCAGGAGCTCCTCGCGTCTCAACACATGGATGGCGACCGGCATCGGGATGCGACCGGTTCTTTAAGTGAGTTCAGTGGAGCCTTTGGAACAAACTCACATTTGGTATACAGTATCCCATATAGAACTGTAAGTAGGGGATCTTACCCAAAAAATGGACTTTCAAACGATTCTCACCTCCCGAACGTTTGGGGCAGGTCTTTGGAGCATTCCGGAACCACGTCACCGGACTCGTGCGTTGGGGACATGAACGAACGCGGAGAACATGTGCCGGAGAACATGAGGAATGTCACACCGAACATGTCGATCTTGCATCACCGTCAAATTTAAAGTGGGAGAGGTTGGAGTGAACAGTTTGTAAGGGGAGCAGGGTTAGAGTCTACAAAAGGCTCTGACCCAAGCTTGCTTGCCATCTGCACACTGGCATGTACCAGAGTGGGCTTGTACAAAATGATGAAGTCTCAAGACCAGTGACAAGATTGCTATCTTATGCTTGAAAGTGCATAAAACCAGCCATACAGCAAATGATTTTTCTACAGCATGGTATCAGGTACCTTTCACTGACATGATTTGACAGGTCAAAACTTAACCTTCCGGAACCTTTCTGTAGTGAGACAGCGTGCGCACGTATCTGCCGGTTTTTTTCCACCAGAAATTGATTGAACTTTTGCATCTCCTTTTTAGGGATCAACTTTTCATAGACTCGTCATAGTAGACATGGTGCCAGCTTTTCCGTGAGGAGACCAAGCTGCATCGAGCAACTCAGCAAAGCTGGATGGAATCGATCGTTTGTCTACGCAATGGATGTGACCAACACTCGTCTTTACAAAATGAGCATGAAGAGTGTTTGAGGAAAACTTCACATGAAGGAGTAGATGTCAAACAACGGTGGCTATCCACGGTCATCTAAAGTCCCTGGACAAACAATACGAGATTTCAAGTTCAGACTCAATATGACTCAATCATGTTAATGTTGTTTAAGTGAACGCCAAAGGTTGCCATGTTGTAGAGAAAACTATTGGTCATCATAACAGTTTTGTAAACCAAACTGTTGGAGGAGCGCACCTTGAAGGAACATGAGTGTTTTATCAAACATTCAATGAGTTTCATAGATTTTACCTGGCCTTTTTGGTTAGCTGACATTAATGAATGGAAAACAACTTGCTCAAAAGTCTACATTGAGTGATCCCTGATGTTGCATGATGTTGCTCTGTACAACATGTGGTCATTGACCTTCACCTTTTTATTGAAAAAAACACCATTGTTTTTAAATATCTGAACCGATTTAACTCTACAGAATGGGGTTCTGGTGCCAAAATTGCATCGTTACAAAATGGCCCCCCTGTAATGGCTACCAAGTGAAGTCATCTTGCACATCCTCTGGTTCTTGAGGCCAGATCTTCATCCTCCGATCTCCATCCCACATTTAGCCGCTTAGCAGCTCAGCTCTATCCACATTTCTTCACCAACCCAAGGGCTCCAGTCGTACCTCAGAAGGTCTTTGGAATTGTCTGGCAACCAAGGTACGACTGGAGCCCTTCTGGGCAAACCTCGGTTTGGTCCCAGGACTCCAGCGACGTGAGGAATCCGCCGAGGTCGCTCCTCCTGCACATCCAACGGAGCAGCAAAGTTGTCCGCCTACGCCACGCCGAAGCAAAGGCGCATGTCGAGCATCGAGCGGTAAAACGGGGATGGTCTCTTGGAATATGCCTGCTTTGTAATCACAGAGCGGCCCTGAGTATCAATTGCATTATATGATGTTATATGGATTACATTGATGTCCAATCCAGGAGGAGGAATGGCGCTTCCGTGACTTCTATGTTCTATCATGTTCTGTATATGCATGTTCTTGTGGGGTTGCACGGTGGTTGAAACACGGTCCAAACATCTCAAACGGTCCGAAGTCCGAAGGTTCCTTCCCCAAGAAAACGGACGAATCGGACTGGTGTCGGCCAAAGCCAGTGAAGGCGAATCGGGCTCGTGTCCCAAACTTTGGGTAGCTTAGAGGTCAATGTCAGCCAAGACATCAAGACATCCCCTGATATTATCATGGAAGTGGATGGCATGACCCCTTGGATGACTACAACCTCCACTTCCTTCCATGTCAATCGGAAAAAATAAACTCTTTGATGGAACATGCTTGCCATGGCTATTAAATGCTACTATACTCTCGGAAAGGTTGGACTTGACCCCGGTATCGCCGGTTGATCTTTTCACATCCCCATACATTCTGGTATGGATAGGTCCTCTTCCTCAAAGGATCCAGAAGCATCAACCTCCAGGATCGCGTGGATGTGTATTGAAATAGGCGATCCAGGATCGGCCTTGCTTCTTGATCCAGGCGCCTCAAGGCCATAGGCTCACTGTATTAAACCCCAGCTCAGCGTGTGAGATCCGGAATTACACATCAGGGATGTCCAAAAATGCTGGGATGTCCAAGAGTGCATGTCTCCTCTTTCATGCCACATGCATGAGCCAAGCAACACTCAGAAAATGCCTCACTTGCCATTTTTCTCTCCCCTGCCTGCAAAGGCTCTTGTCGTTTGGAGCGTTCCGCTACGAAGGGGATCGGAGTCACAGTCCTGAGTTGGTGAAAGCAAGACCCCGGCCCCTGCCATACTTTCTTGATTGAACTCCAACCATCGGGTCAAAGAAAAAGCACACTTAAAGCATGCACCCCTGGAAGACTGTGTTCATGTTCACCAGTGGTTTTGGGTCCACCATGCTCGAATTCGGGAGCATATATATATATAATTATACATCGCACAGGAGACCTGATCTGTTAGGGGCCAGCGTATTCAGGGCACGGTGGGCGTAAGAGTGGAACCTCTCATGTCTCTCCTGTCTGAACATCATGAAACCTCATTGTCCATGATGGAAGAACACAAAGAATGAAGAGTACCTTCTATTCAAGATCTTCGATGGACTTTCTGACTTTCCGATGTGATCTGCAAAGCTTCAACTCCAATCCTTGGAAAACACCCAACAGTCAAACCCTGGCACTCCAGCCAGGCGTCAAATTGGCCAAGGCCTGGCAGTGCTTCGGTCTTCCAATTCCAATGCAAGGCGCCACAAACATGTGATAGGCGGTCCTCATGGCCCCATTCTGCAGGAAGTTTCGAGGAAGCTGTGCGATCAAACAAAGGAAGACTCAGACTCGTCCCAGATCTGAAGGTTCAGGCTTGCCCACGTGTCCAGATGGGAACCATGGATAGGATTCAGGTGGGAAGGGGTTGCTCCGAGCTGCTCTAACAACCACAAAAGGGTGGTCAATAGCAGTCACTCATGGTGAAAACCGTCAGATTAGATCTATTCCTGATTGGGGGAACATCATTTCATAGTGGGAAAGTGTGTGATTAACATCCCAGTGATTCAAGAGATGCCGATCTGGATAGAAGATTAGGACTCAGAGCCATGCTCACACTCCGTGATAGTATGTCATAAAAGCTTTACCCAGTGGCACGGTCAGTTGTTACGAGGGTGGAATCCGACAGACATTCCACATGGCAGGCGACCTCATGGCATCGTGTTGGCGCGCAAGGTGATTCTGTACTCATGGATACCCCCGTATCAAAATAGGGAGACCTACCAGTTCGACCCTCTGGGAAAAGGGAAATAGACTTATTAAATAGACCAAAGCCCATGGTTGGAGACCTTCTTTTTTAAAAAGCACACCCCTAGAGCCTTTCAGGAGCGACCGCCTTGGTGGCACGGCCCTCCAGCCCTATCAGGCCCTATCAGGTCGTCAACCGACAAAGCCACTGAATGGCGCGCAGTAAGGTGCTTGAAGCCAGGAAGTGCACTCCTCGGAAAGCAACGATACCATGCAAGACACCCCGAGCATCGTTGAGTGCTCTGCACTTGAGTGCTTAGCACACTCCTGAAAAAGCAGGTGATCATCACGCAATGAACGACAATGAAGTGCACTCCTTCTGTTTCGTCAAAGACACACAGACACTCCATGGGACTGCCATATATGCCGATCAATTGACCCCCAACACCACCCCAACTGATCGGCATATATGGCAGTCCCATGGGTCGTGTTTGGGATGGAGTGTCTGCTGATCGGCCACCGGATCCTAAGGATCCACTGCCTACCCTCGTGCAGTCGTGAGGACGGAGACACGCAGGTCCTAACTATGTAGGTGCCATTTCCGTCGGGTGCAGTCGTACCTTATTCTGAGAAGGTACGACGACTGGATTTTTGGGGAATACCAAAGACACAACAAAATAACACATGCAGATTGTAACACCATGAGAAACCTCTTCCTTTTAGGGGATGTTTTAATATGTTTTGAATGAAAAGAGCCGAGCCCAACGACTCCCACGACTCCCCGACTCACGACCCCGGTGACGTGACTGGAACCGCTCCCCCGTGACCGTGCCAAGCTGCGAAGGTCTTCCTGGGCCAAGAAGTGCAGCAAGGCATGGCCTGCCTCAAGGCGCCGGTATGCCTCTTCACGAGTCTTCGGAACGCGGAACTCCGTGTGTAGGACGATGGAAATCCGTCGACCACGAATCCCTGCTTTTTGAGACGTGGATTAAAAAAAAAAAACATGACTGGCCTGACTGGCAAGCTTGGTGAAGAGTTTGATGGGAACATGCTCCCTACCAGTACCAGATCCATCCAGATTCCAGATCATGTATCCAGGCTGCATGCATCTAAAAATAATATATAGTATTTTTGTGTGATGTTTGATGATTTTTGGGGTTTGACCCCATGACCCCATCTGCAAGATGAGCATTCATGAGTTCACTCCAGGGTGCCCATTGAAACAGAGCACTTCGACCGCCCCATCTGTCCCTGTCACTGGCGTCTTGATGACTGGCCTCCTGTGACTGGCGTCTCGAACAGTCAGTGAGACCGGGATCCAGCAGAAGATGGTGAAGCTTTGTCACCTGAGCAACTGCTTCGTCCGTGTCACGAACTGACCAAATGGCTTCAAGCAAATCCAGTGGAGCCGTCGATGGTCCAGTGTGAAACTCGGTCCGGCGGATCCGGTCGATGGTTTGGTAGACTGGGGATCACATACATTCAAGGCTGGTGGGAAGAAAGCTGTGCCGATCATAATACCATTAAAAGGAAAACTAACGTGACAATGATGAAACAAATATAGCTATAAGTCTTCACTCCCGGATATGATTGCACTCGAATCTCCGAACGCCCGGAGCGTGTCAGCTTCCGGGCGGTCGGAAAGCATGCGATATTGAAAAGCCAGGCCGAAAGCCTCGCTGGTGCACTGCTGGATATTGAAAGTTGCAAGATGTTGCGTGAACTGCGTGAACTCGCCCACATCGACTTTTGAGAACCCGGTGATTGGTAAAGCTTCGTGTATTTGGTGCGTAAGGGATGCATCTAGAAACAGAGATGAAGTCAAGCAACCCTGAACCCATGTTCAAAAGAAAGCTTGGGCAGGCCCCCCACATCGACTTCATGGAGCCGACCGAGGGTCGAGGGTCGAGGGTCGCGTCCGCGTCCGTGCCAAGGGTCAAATCTCTGTGAATCTCCGACCACCTGGCGATTGGAGAAGACGCAGAATCTGGAGGAAGGAGCTGAAGGTTCAACGGTTACTGCCAGGGAAACCTGGTCACTTCATGGCCAGGGATTGCTGTAAGTGTAATCCCCACTAAACTATCCATAGCGAGTCATGGCCGTAACTCAAGTATAAACACTTACTAATTTCTGCAAAGCCCCAACAAACACCAAGCATCACAGGATACCAATTCAAGTGGAAGAGAAGCTTTGTACCTTTGTACCTATGTAGCCACTTGTGGGGTTTGTCGGCCTGTACAATTATGTACAACGGCCCTACACAACGAAGGCGCCCTGCTATGCCAACTAGTCCTGTGGCACTGTGAGTCCTGTGATGAAAGCCCCCATCGACGAGGAATCACAAAAACGTCGTCAGCCCAGGGTCACCGCGTGTGGATCTTCCCACCCTGTGGTCATGCTGAGCCCCAACCCGCAAGCGCCTCCACAGTGCAATCTTTGCCATTGGGAGGTCCTCAATGGGCTGTCGACCATGGCGTAAAAGGATTTATATAACTGTGCCCCACGGCCAGCCATAGAATCTCTCGTGGATCCAGTCAACTTCCCAGAACATGTCTAGAGTCTATGTCGTTTAAGGCATGCAGGCGGCAGGACACTTTTTGGGACACCGCACTCCACCTTTGGGACGACGCCCTCGCTTTGAGGGCACGGTATCCAGCGATCTAACCTTCGGGATCCAAATCGAGCGATGCGTCCGCCGGGCTTCCTCTTCGGTTCCTTTAACACGAGCATCCCAAGTCCAGGTTCGCTCTCCTAACTGTACGACACCCGAAAAAGAGGGGCTAACTAGCTGTCCAAGTCGAGAACAACGAAAGCAACATGTCTAAGCTCGAAGTGCTTTGGCTAAGTGCAAAACAATCGGCTGAGTTGGTCCAACTTGCGGCCGCTGCGTCTTACTCCTCCATTTCAGCTACCCTCAAAGCTTGAATCATCCCACGAAAAAACGGTTCTAGGCGATCTGTTCAAGAGGACCGAAGTTAGCTGCAATGGTTAATTCATGTCACAGCAATTAATGAGACAATATTAGACATATTGATAGACATATTGATACCCTCACTCCATCAACAAACTAACGAAACTGGACAATGCCCCGAAAGGAAGACTGTTTGCCTCCACGAGCAGGCCGTTTGAGCGAGGGTCAATCTTGGCCAACTGTCGCAAGTGTACAGCAGAATGATATTGCCAAAAGTGGTATGAGTTTGCGATCCATTGTGGAACAAAAATGAACAAAGAACTGACTGGATGATGGATGCGTCTGACTCACCTTGATGGCCTCTTTGACTCACCGAGAGTCTCCCCCGAAGGCCATAGCCCTCGTCTAAGTGACACTGGGCGGCGTCGTGCAAGGTATAGTTTGGCCTGGGCAATGGTTGGAGGAAGGTTTGAAGAACGACCAAAGGCTAAACAACTCGTGGTTGCGTGGAGTTCATTCCCTGTGACTAGAGGAAAAGAGTCTTCCGAAATCGGGAGCAAGTTCCACTTCCATGTTTGCTGGAGGGTACATTTTTTGGGCCAAGCACCACTGCCACATTGTACCACCTCAACTTGGACCCACCTGGATTGAACTCAACTGGATGCTCTTGTTGTTGTTTCGACATCTGAATCAAACGATCGGGTTGAGGATAAAAAAACACTAATTAGACTTTTTCCAGAAAGGTTTAAGATATCCAGCATACGTCGTTCACATGTTGGCAACATGGTCTTTTCTGAAATTACACATGGGAAACCTCCCAGTTGTGGTCACGTACAGTTGAACAACAACGACGACAAACCGCTACATTGAAGATGCTGCCACCTCCAGCAGGTGGGGTGGTTGGTGCTTGAGCACTCCAAGGGCACTGCAGAAGTGTTTCCGGGAGGATGCAAAAGGAGAACACGTGCTGTAGTGCAAGTACAACTGCATCAGTACCGTTTGTCTCACTTCAAGCGAGAACTGATGCCAACATGGGATTTAGCAACCTCCCTATGAATTTGGTCCAGCTGTGCTCTGTAATAGCATGCAGTGTCAATATTTGTTCAATTGTCTTAGTATCAGTCTAAGGTTCCCGCCCCGGAAAATCATCCTCTTTCCACATCCCGGCCAGTTTTCACTCTGTCCCCAAATCCTGATGAGCTCCCCAAAGCCTTTTTATGCTGAATCATTCTCGTGCCTCTAGCAGTTGATCCCCCGAATGGGAGATTCACTTGCCCATTTTTGTTGGGGAGGCGATCCCTTTTCTCGTGAAGAGACAAGGTGCCCATGGTGACCATCGACATTGGTCGGATCTGATCAGTCCTGATGATTCAAAGGCGTTCTCCAGCTACCAACCTAAAGTTTTTTAAGACAGGGGGAGGTGATTCATCCGCGGATCTGAGACATTGCGCATGAAAACCCTTTGCTTGGTGTATCTGCAATTTTGAGACAGATCTCCTTTTCAACGCCTGAGACGCACCGAGACGCACATGTCAAAAAAAACACATTGCGCGGTTCGCAGGTCGTCTGTGAGCCCCCACAGCCGTTGCCTCAGCTGGGGCAAAACCTGGATGGCAAGAGACTTGGATCTTCGAACGGTCTTTTTGTGGCTGTTTTTTGCTCCGTTTTATATAGCCCGAGTTGCCCTCCCCCTTACTTAATCAAGTAAGCGGCGCCTACTTAAATATATATATAAGTATAGGTAACCTGCTACTAGCTAGATCCCAGGATAGCTCACGCTTCCGCTCGTACTATTCATTAATTTGGCTCCTAGACCTCTATGGGTGGTTGCTTCAGTGCCTTGGCAGGAACTTGACTTTGCCATACTTTGCCAGCAAATGACAGTGACAGCAAGAGGAAAGAAGTACGAGTTCCACTGCCATGGTATGAGTTGTACGAACAATTCGTGAATGTAGTAGTCGTGGCTTTTGGTTGAAAGGGCCCCTATTCCAAAAATGAATGAATGAATGCATGAAGGAAGGAACGAAGGAATGAACAACGACATCTGGAATCTTCACCCACATTTCCGTCGCTCATCGCCCATGTCAACAAGAACGCCAAGACACAATGCCACTTCCAATTGCGGCAAGAGTGCCTGCTAGAGCCGCAAGGCATGCAAGGCAGTGCCAGTCAAAAAATAACTGCCAAAACAACCTAAGAGCAATGGCCTCCAGCCTCCAACCCAAGAGCGATGGCCTCCATGTTATCACTAGCGGAAATAACTAACTGCCAAAACATATCCAAACACATCCAAAGCCGGTTGGTTCCGAAATTGTTGATAGAATGCGGCTCACATGTTGCCTAATTGTCCTTTGTGCGGAATAGTGGAAATTCCAGTCAGCCGATGGACATACAAGTGCCTGATTTCCGCCAGCTGCGCAAGCATTGAGTACGTTGGCGCAGCTCAGACCATGCCGTATCCACAACACACGCACGCGCAGCGTGATGGACTTCGGTCCTTTTCAGGAACGAGGACGGTCCGGAGACCAACGTGGAACGGAGACCGTGCCCCGGTCTCTTCAATGATTCAGTCGAGTCAGGTAATGTGGGACAATATCAGAATTACTCAAAAAATATATATATATATACTCAATACACCATGTTACCTCTGTTAACCTTATTCTTTAAATGTACCATGACTTAAAACGAAGGAAGCTTTGTTGTCCACTTCCACGTCACTGAGTCAGAGTGTACCAAGTCCGCAACCAAAGGGTTGTTCACTTCCCTGTTAAGCCATGAGAGGTGCCCACTATGGGTCTGACAGGTGTATTAAAGACCAATCGCCAAACCGAAGATATCCAATAACTTTCCCGAAACTTACCACCCAGAAGTTAAGATGGAACATGAGAGAACGAGAACACCAGCTTGGGCAACATCATTTCGCATTATCTTCGTTCGTCAATTCCCGGTTCGTCGTTCTAATTGGGGGCTGGGGACCCAGCGTTGCAAGTCCGCCAAGTCCTCCCCAAAAGGACTTCACCACGTTCGCCAGACCCAAGGAGGCTGCCAGTAGCACCAAACTCATGAAGCTTCGCCCTCCCGCGGCAGCTGGACGCAGCAGTGGGGCATACATTCCGACGTGAACCGCGGATGTCCGGCTTTCGGAATCGGATGATTACAGCGGACCGGATGGCTATATGGGCGATGTGGGTGAAGGCGATGTGGGACCCAAGTCAAGTATTCCCTGCCTGTGCGATGTGCTGTTGACGTTTTCCGCAACTCTCGGAACACTCACAAGATATCGTCAAAAACCCACGACTGAAGTTGAACATGTTGAACATTGAAGATCATTGAAGTGTAGAATCTGACCTTCTGATTCTAGAGGCTGTTGCTGCATTGCATTGATTTGTCTCAGGCAACCGATCGGATGGGATCATTAGAACATGTTCCATTTCAGAGGTTGCCTTCAATTGTTGGAGATGCTGGCAAGAATTCGTGAAGGACTGCATAGGACTGTCGTTCTCGTGCAAATCAGCGGATTCTGAGCCGGCACAAGGATGCGTCCGTTGGTCTAGAGACTTATCCCAAACAGACACTCTATAATCTCTCTCTCTCTATGTATATATTCTATATACATATATATATATATATGAATCTATGCCTACATTGACAAACCACCCGAATGTAGGCAAATGTGGGCAAATATTGATAAACACGGCATAGTGCGGCAGCCGGCAGTCCCAAACAGGTGGTGTTTGGGTCTGACCCCTCAACACACCGAAGTTGCCACACTCAACAAGTTGACCGATCTCGTCAATGGAAATCCAACTCACCCCTGTTGACACCCCAGTGTTCCACGCGACTCGCTCGACCGCAGTCCAACGACGACTGTCGCGAGGGTGTCGCGGCCGCGGCCCGTTGTGGTATTTTTTTTGCCGACGCCGACGGAAAGAAGGGCGCTGAGCCACCACTCGGAATCGGCGGACCTGGCAGAATCGACGGTTACCACGTCGTGCAACGGGCGGGAGGAGAGGACGTCGTGTCACGGTGCGTCCAAAACCGATCGTTGAAGCTGCAGTCCAATGGTCTATACAGTGTGGGGCCTCAAATAGGGGCATTTCTTTGACAGTGATGGCCACAAGTTTGTCTCTGTAACAAGCATAGCCTCATAAAGAGCATGTGTACTCCGCAAATTAAAATACATATTTTCAAGCAAGCTTTCATCATTTACTTTGTGTAAAGTGATGTAACGTGTATACAATAATGCAATAATATATATATATAATATATATATATATATAAACATGTCAAATCAGTTGCCAAGAGCTCAAATGGAGCAATCGAACGGCACGAGCTTGCTGGAATGCACAAAAATAACGTGTTATTCGTGCTTAGAGGCTCCAAAGGGGGCACTTTGAAGTCAACGTATGTTCAAAAAAGGTGGATCCTTCCATCTTGCTCCTAGTAAGGCCAGGAGCCCCTAGTAGCGTCCTTGCTCCTAGTAGTAAGGCCAGCTCCTAGTAGTAAGGCCAGGAGCCCCTAGTAGCGTCTCCTAGTAGTAAGGCCAGGAGCCCCTAGTAGCGTCCCTGCTCCTAGTAGTAAGGCCAGGAGCCCCTAGTAGCGTCCTTGCTCCTAGTAGTAAGGCCAGGAGCCCCTAGTAGCGTCCCTGCTCCTAGTATGTTCAAAAAAGGTGGATCCTTCCATCTAAATTCACCGGGCCGCTGAAAAGACTTTTGGCATCTTCGGGCAACGCTGGCAACGCTTCGTCAGCCGCTTTCGCTGCAGCTGCAAGAGGCATCCTTGTGGTTTCCAAAGAGGTGCTCTGCAAATGTGGAACAAGCAAGGGGAGACAAGGGAGGGTTGAGAGGACTCTTGACAAAGTATACCTTATACCTCTATATAGCTAAAAACAACTACCAAATCATCAAATACAAAGTCCGAACACATGATAGGTCTGGATCTGGTCTTGCTCATGGCCCAGCCACTCAAAGGTCAGTCGCCATGCACGACTCTTTGTCACAAGTCACAGCGTTTGTCAGGCTGGCCACATAGGGATAATCTTTTAACAAATGTTGGAAGACAGGAAAAGACTCTGATCTATACCATCCAAGGGTCCCTATAAAATAGATATATCTAGTATGATACTGGACTACTTCGGGGATCTGGGTCTCTTCGTTGGACACACCGACTTGAGTCATACATACCCAAAGCGAGTGCTTTGTGCTTTCCGTTTTGCAGAACCAAGGGTTTGGGGTTTAGGGTCTTCGCGTCTTGGATCGTTCTTTGGGATCTTGATCGATCATCCAATGGAACACATCCGGCTCTTGGGATTTGTTGGATGGCCAACTGATGCGGGATTCGTCCAGCGGGTGAGTCGAAGTACACGGTTTCCAGCCAAATTCATCCGAAGCATGCATGCTTTGCTAACTAACCTTTGGGAACCTGCCCTTTCCTCGATTTGGGGTGCCAGTTGCTGGCGGCCCAGAGTCGGTCGAAATGATCACCTGAAGGGTAGTAGAGGCAAATGTCTCATCTGGGGAGACAAACATTCTGCCCCAAACTCAGGGGAGGCAACCATTGTGCCACAAACATGTCACTTGTGGGGAGACAAACATGTTGGAGACGAACATTCTGGAGACAAGCATTTCAACCCCACCCAGCTGCAGCCGCAGCACATCTTCTCTCCGATAGCCACGGCCTTGAGCTGAGTGTGCCCGTCCGACTGAGCTGAGTGATTCTTAGTGATCGCTGATACATACCCTATAGATCGAAGTACCTTCTCAGAAGCTACTTGGACCCTCCAAACCTACATAACAGTGTCTCCAATCACCTTCTGAGAAGGTACTTGGATCCCTAGGGATAGGGGGTCACCTACTGATTGTGAGCCCCAATTTGGAGTGTCACAACATGTCACAATTGCTCTTCACTTGCACTTTCACACTCTTTTGGAGATGCAGCAGTTGTTGGACAAATTTTGCAAGCCGACCCCACAGAACAGGAGTTGACCCGAAACCCATAATAAGACCGCTGCAGGAATGAACCCGTGAAACAGCTGCAGAGACAATTCCACTATTGGAAGCAAAGGCGTTGTAAACTATGCAAACCACCATGTAGATTACCGCAGCAAACCTGCGGTTAGCCCAATCCATGGTTTGTTCTTGGGTACAATCCATGGAAACAGAGGATTCTAACTCGGCAAGGAGGTTCAAGGGGGGATGCAATTAGCTTTGACCCTTGCATATTACTGTATCTTACAAAAACCTAGCTCGACAAAACCTGAGGGCCACAAGAAAACACATCTTCTCACGTTCTGGTCACCTTTTTTCGGTCTTCCAAACCTTCACAGAACTTCCGTGACTTGATTCATGAACCCCCCCTACCTGAGAGTCATCACCCCACCTGAGAGTCGTCACCCCAGCTGGGCCTGGGAGTCATCAGCCACATTTCAAGGTGGTAAAAGTGGAGTGAAACACCCATCAACTGCGTTTCCTCGACCCTGGGCCTGGTTCACCCTGGGCCACCCGCACTGCCACGGTCTCGTGGAAGGCCGGTGCCAGTCCGTGCTTCAATGGAACGGATGAAGCCCATGACCAGGGCTGAGTAGTCGTCCTCCCCCTGCGAGAGTGGCCGTGAGGGTTACATCGCCGCCTCAGAAGACCTAGAAGGGGGTAATGTTGGGAGAGTTGCTGTCATAGAATAGTTACCTATACCTTTGGACCTTAGGGATCCTTAGGGTCTGAGGGTTACATCTATATGGTAAATGGGTGCCCTGTCAGGTCAAACCTAACAAACTCTATCGGCTGCTCTGGCGCCGGAGCCAGCTGGGTCTTCCACCTCGCGGCGAGGCCGGAAGTCCGCCAGGACGGTGGACTGCACCTCGGGATCGATTGGGATGGAAACACATGGCCGGCCAAGCAAAAGACCGATGGATCGTGTGTTGTTGCGTGTTCAATCAACCTAGGCAAGTGCCAGTTGTGCCAGTTCTGGACGTGGATGTTTGTTCCAATACATTTTACACTCTGACTGACCTGGAAGTGGGGAAGGGGGACCCTGGAAGGTTGCTGTCCTCTACAAACCGAGGGTAAACTCCACTTCCATGCTAGTGAGTCAAAGGGTACCTACATTGGGGTTGCTCAGGGGTCGATGTAAGTATATATGCCATACATGGATGGTCTGGGATACTGGCTCCCTGACGGTCTTCCAGAAACAAACATGTTAACCATGTTGGCTCTTCCTAGGTCTTCTAGAAGTCACAAGTATAGTGGTAGGGCTTGTTTGAGGGTGGGGTCGTCAATGAAAGCCGTGGCCACTAGTAACAATGTGTGCTTCCAAAAATTGGCCATAACATGCCATGGCCATATAGACGTTTGCCGCAAGAGGCACCGTCACTTGCATTTCGAAACCTAACGCGGCACACGTTCACCTCCCCAACGACCACGGTGGCAAGCACGTGAGCTTCCAAGCGTTGGAGGAAGAAAAACACAGGCACCTGTGAAGGTCAAAGTATAAATCTGTGATTATGAGTGTAACATATATATGTGAAGAACATTCCTCAAAGCAAAAAGCATGGTGGGCCCAGCTGGGCCTGTAAAATCTCCATTTGCCCTGTCCTTCAATTGTGGTTCCACATGTCAGATCCCGTTTCAACGATGTCACATGGTTTTTTCCGACCGGATGGCGGGAGACTGACCGGACGGCCTGGAAAGGATGGGATCTACTGGTGTTGATTGCATTCAGACTGGCTACCACAATTTGATCTATATATCTATATATTATATATATGTGTGTTAATTATGTGTTTATTTCTTTCACCTGCTCAGCTCATGCCTTGAAACACCCTTGATCATGTGGCTCCAAACCACCCCCAAAGACACGACTTTGGTTACCATTTCTTCACCTCTTTTTCTGGTCCCCCCGCGGCTTGGCACGCAGCGCACCGGTGGTCCGGGCTCGGCTTCGCCGGACCGAGCTGCTCCGGAGGAGGTGCGCTCCAGGACACCAAAGGCACGGTCGTCCATCGGGTAACCTACGGCGCACCGAGAGCACACGGCCTCGTCCATGGCCCAACTGGTGACTGGTAACCAAAACCAAATATCCTTCAAAACAAGAAAATCCGTACCAAACAAATTCCTTTACTAATCACAGACTAAACATGTGATTGATATCTATATATGATGTGCGCAACATAAATGATCCTGAAAGAAGTGATCCCAACAAAGTGCTACTATATCCAACTATATCCTACAAATAGTTATGGCCGAATCGCCTATACACATACAATATATCTTGCAATCTCCTACAAACAGCCTATAATATACAATGGTGAATATACGTAATAATGGATGTAGTAGTGATAAAACAAAAAAATATGCTGTATGCCAACACACAGGATTGACAAAATGATACAAAATGTATGTTCTCCCTAGCTTGCACAGCCTTCTCCATCCGGGCGATGATGTGGGCATTGCCGAAGAATAATGGAACCTCTAAACTCTAAAGCTTAAAGAAAGGGCAAAGGAAACGATGCAATACCTCTGGACCATTCCCTCCTTGGGACTCCCTGTCCCTGGAGAGTCCACGTCTCAGCCGTTCTCGTCCCAGCCGCGTGCGCGGAACTCACTCAAGTTGTTGGCAGCGCCTCATCCGTCGGCGAAGAGGCGGCGGAAGAGCGGCCGACTGCCGAGGCCGCCTGTTCCACCGCTCTAGTCTGTCGACTGTACCGCTGACACCTAATGAAACAACACGGCACACACCGAATGAAACGTTGTTCAGTGGGGAAAACCATCCCCCCAATAAAAAGGTTAGGTTATACCCACGTGCTTCCTGGGTAGGAAGGGGGGCCCGCCAAGGGCTTCCCTGGTCGCTACGTTCGACCTGTTGGCTCCTGGTGTGGTGGACCGTTGCTCAGGTCGTCTCAGGCTTAAATGTTCACCTAGCCAATCTGTGAGACTCATAGTGTCCGACTTACTGGATTAGAGATGCGTTGTTTGTTCGATGTTTGATGCTATATACCTGGTTCAGATTTCCAACGGTTTCTGCTTGCAAATACTCAGGCTATCTCAGGCTAGTAGCCTTCGGGAGGCGGAGCATTCTCAGGCGACCAAAATCCAGTCCAGGTGAAAAACAGAAGCATGTGTCCAACGCAACTACCTGGACCCTGCAAAGTACTTAGAAAATGGGACATTGCCGGACATTACCCCATAAAAGCAGGTGCCCATTTTTTGCGGGGGTACGTTGAAACTTCAGGTAGCTTTGCTCGTCGTCTCCGGTTTGGGCGTCGACCAACCGATCACCTCTTAGGGTTCATGCGGGTTCCTCGGCGAGTTGCTTCCGGTCAAAGCGAATAGCCGATTCGATGGCGGAGAAGGGAAAAAGGGGCGGGCAGGATGACCATCCGAAGTACGTCATTCGGATGGTTTTTTGGTACGTCATCGAGTGGCGAGTCCCCAAGTCCCTTCCTTAGAGAAGGCCGAACATCTTGGGCATCTGAGATGGCTAGAGACAGCATGTCACGCAATTTGTCCCAATCATCCCCCACATTGCTGCCACTACTCCCCACTGTCGCACTCACTACACCATCCCTGTGGTCATCCCAAACATCCAATCTAACATCCAACATCCTCGTCATCCATCATCATCCTGGATTCCTGCACCCACGTTCCAAAACGCTTCGAATCGTCTTTTTTTCACGTCCCAGCAACGGGGTGCCAGGACCGCCTGCGAATGACGGTGCATGACCTGGGCGCATTTGATTCGGGCACGTTGCGCGACATCTGTGGTGGGCGAACATCTCAACACCACCACTCTAGCAGGTCTGTGTATGAAAATGAACAAGATGAATTGACCTAATCAGCCTCCAAAGGCCAAGATCCGTGCCCGGTTCGTCCTATAAATCCTGGGCTTGGGACTGGGTCGTCCAAGACTCCAAAAAGGTGAGTGACTTCGTAGAACCACTTCCAAAGCAGAAACAGTTGAAGGTTCCGAACCAATTGATTGGAGGAATTGGGTTGATGCTTCTAGAACTCAGAAACAGTTGAAAGAATCCGGTTTGTAAGACTTCGCAGGGCGTGGGTCCTGCTCAATGGTTGTCAAAAGCCTCTCTCATGGTCCACATTACGCTCATATCATATGTTCAATTGCCGGCAGACCAAGGGCCCACACTGCCCGCACGAAGCTGGCAACAAGGGCAGAATAATCGTCTTCCCCTAGCAGCAGCGGAGGCTTTCTGAGACTCTGGATAGATTCTTGGGAAAAGACTCTTGAAATAGTTAATGTTGATATCTAATAATGTGATGTAGGTTGCCAAGAGCTCTAATATAAATATATGCATATATATATTAATGTAATATATAGTATAGTTGTTTTTGATATACCTGGGTACACGACGGTACAAGCATAAGTCTGCTTACCCGAGCGATTCTACAAGGTTGGCATCTACATTGCACATCTTGCCAAAATCCAAACCACATGCATCTCTGAGAAGTCATCTCTGATGCCGTCTCATAACAAACCACCTCAACTGCTGCCTCAGCCAGTCAAGCCCCTCCAGCAATCAATGCAACCACCATATCACTAAGAAACACATTGAGTTTTTTGTGGATGTTTAACACCAAACGATGCACCCGGCCCTGGGCCCCTATGAACTCTGTGGCCTTTTCTCTAGACACACCTCGCTTAGATCGACATCCATCCGCACCACCTCGGTCGCCCATTTCACGCGGCGCCAACAGCTGGGCACGGCCGGACGCCCACGGGGCCTTCCCTCTTTGGGCGGAACTGTTGGAGCACGGACTTCTGCACTTCGCCAGGCACGCTCGTGAGCACCTGGACAGGGCAGTATGGCGGAACGTCAATTGGAATCCATGGGATCTGGGGGGCAGACGGCGAATGCGCTGGGAATGGATGGATGGAAGTATACAAGATCCACTTCAGTGGATCAGAATATTTGAAGGGGCTGGGGCGGGGCCCGCGTATGAGGTCAAGCGAAACTGACAAGAATACATTTGCCCTGACCCAATTGGACTCGCTTTCGAATCATTGAGCCCCTGTCCCACTGCGGGTATACAATGAGCATGGTGCATGGTCTGTACAGCTTGATATTGGGGGTATGCTCCCAAGGACAGTGTAAAATGTTCTTGACACTTTGAAGTGGCAAAGAGATGCTTCCACCCTCTAGGGGTTGTCAAAAAAACACACGTGGAGATGGTTTCTGGGAGTGGGGCCACGGCAAGTGAAGAACTCCCGCAGAATTTATCTGTTGAGAGTCTTCACCTGAAATCCAGGATGACCCGACCCCCCACTGTTTGGATCTTTCCAGTGATCAAGAATAGTTGTCATGTGGGACATATTCCGCCTTCCTGGCGCTTGGGGGACTACAAACCAACAAATCGATCCGGGGATGGACATGGATAAACCATCTGCTGAGTCCCAAGCCGTTTCACTGGAAAATGAAGGTCAACCTTTTCCACCTATTCGGGGTGTGGAGAGAAACCAATGCCCCCAAAACGGACCTGCAGGTTATCCACGTACTTTGTGGGTAGGTCTGAGATTCCCAAATGCCTTCAAAAATCTGGGAATGGATGGGAATGGTCAATCGCCAAGGTTCGATTAAACACCGAGAAATCGCCAAGGTTCGATTGCTTCAGTGATTGAATGAACAAAATTTACCCTCCAACAAACACCCCAAAACGGAATTGCTGAATCACAAACGTTCGTCCGAATTCGTCCCATACAACCCATATCAACCCCCACATCCATCATCCCCCCAAAACCTGCCCCTGCGTCCGTTTTCTCGGTCAGGAGACTCCATAGGCTCTGGAGTCGATGGGATAGCGGTCCCGAAAGTCATCCAGCTCACGCTGCGTGGGTCCCTCGGCCCCGGATCTCCTGCCGAGCAGCTGGCCGTTGGAGCGGGGTCCCGCTCTTGAAACCCTAAAAAACCTATACCTCTCAAACTGGAGAGTGCATCTTAAGCACAAAAAAATCACATTGAATCCCCCAAAACACAATTCTGATCAAACGAAGCAGAAAAATATGTTCCTTGAACGATTATTAAACTGGATTCAAGTGTCCTTCACACTGACTAGCCTCTGACTAGTTACTCTCTTTTTTGCAAGGCAAAAGACTGTGGTAGTATGCATTTTATGCATATTCTCGCATATTCCACCATCCAGTTAAACATCTGGCATTTTGTTAAGTTCAACCCTTTACTGTCAAGAACGATCATAAATAAAGATCTATCACTCTTTGATGCTTAGTCAAAAGGTAGACGTCAAACAGTCAAACATATTAAGTGTCAATCATATTACTGTAAGTAATGGTATAATGACATTTTGTTTGAAAGAAGCATAGAGTCAACAAAATGCAAAAACAATGTTTCAAGAATACTATTCAATATACATGGTCACATTGTAGTGGATATACAAGGCTGGAATAAAAACATGTTTATGTAGAGTTCTTGGAAACTGTATTTTTGGATACTGATACTTACAAAATACAAGTTTACTTGCTTACAGTGCTATTGCAAAAAAAGTAATAAAAACAATGTTTTGAAAGATGCTCTATAAATACAAAATATGGTTACAAACATTTTTCAAGGCTTAGTTTTTGTACAAAAAATCAAAAATAGCACCTGTTTAAGTCGTTGGTGAGTCCTCTCATTTGCCTCACTTTACCAGAACAAAAGTATATTAGTAAAACATCCTTAGATGATAGTAGGTTTTATGTTTTAATTACACAAACTACGGGAGGTACTTCTCATCCGCGATTCCGCGGTTGAAGTCCACATGGTTCCATCATCCTCCTCAGTACCAGTGCTGATCCGGCCAAGCAACAGCACATCGTACCGCTGTACAATTCTAGGGGGACAAATTCGAACCCAAAATTGCAATTAGAAAGCAAAATTTCAGCAGAGCGTTAAAGCTACGGGGGGGGGGGAAGGATCCACTAGCAAATACCCAGGGCCATCAGGAGTACGTACCCAAGAAGGCGCATAAACGGCACGGGAGACGCCAGACAAGACCGGAAACCTACTCAGGGGCCCGGACAAGACAGGAACCCCACAAAAATGTGGAAAATCAGAGGCCTGGACGAGACCAGACCCCGCGCCCGGACAAAGGCAACATCCAGAAAAAGGTGCCAGCCAAGGTACGGCGTCATCGCCATCGCCGCTCGCCGACCGCTTGGGGCTGACCCGAGCGGCGTGGCCGGTTCCCTTACCATGTCCTTTGCCCTTGAGCTGAAGACCGACAGCATCAGCTGCGGCCAACACCTTTCGAGACGGCCTCGGCACCCCGGCTTTGACCCCCATAGGGGGCCACTGTCCATCGGCCAGTTTGGTCCAGAGAGTGGCGAGGGAGGCCGCTCCCCAGAGTCGGCGAAGAGTACGGCCGCTCTCAGACGCTGCAAAGGTACGCAGGAGTACCCAGGGCTTGTCATCAGGAGGTGGGCGGTTGGCGTTTGCGAGGCTGTGAATGGCCCAAGAGTACATGCGTACCTTGAGAGGTGGGCCACGGTCTGCGGTGCCATTGGCGACTGCAGCCTTGCCACCGTTGTAGTCTGCCAGTTCGGCAGCAAGGGCTGCCTTGGCAGAGCCGCGGGCAAAGAACACCAGCTGTAGCTCAGCCCGCAGGGCTGCGACATCTTGGGCAGTCGGAACCGCCAAGTCACCGACAACGCCAAGACGCCGCTCCATTTGGTCAACGCGGTCCTTGGTATGGTTAAGGTCATCCCGAGCCCTCTTGAAGTCCTTTTGAGTCACGGGGCTGCGACCGCGGGCGCTGCTTCCGGACGGCATGTCAGCGGGCAGGACACCAAGAGCTCGAGCCAAGCAGTCTGAGGAATGTACGTGCATTTGCGGTAATCCCTAGGGAGCATAAACGCGAATCGGATAGTCGCGCATGTGACAGGACGTACGGTGTCGTTTAAAGGTCAAGGAGTTAGACATAACTGGGGCAGGGAGACGGTTGCGCTGGACGCAGAGCGGACACGACATAGGGTAGATGAAACTCGTGACTCCATGGTCTTGGGCGAGATGAAGCAGCATGGTAGGGCGACCAGGGAAAACCCCTTGGCAGTGCGGGCAGATTTCAGCAAGCGTATCAGCGGCATGGTCAACTTTTAAATGAGAGCGGAGAGCACTCTCGCGGCGGAAAATCCGAGGACAGCAGGAGCACCCAAAACCAGCCTCCCGGAAAGTACCCTCTGTGTGTGTCAGGCGGACATGAGATGCGAGAGAACTGACAGAAGGAAAAAGACGATTGCAGAGGGAGCATGTAAAAGCCCCTTCTTTATGTATGCGGTATCTTTAGATGATAGTAGTTTTTATGTTTTAATTACACAAAACTACGTAGACACAACATTGCAGCGCATAATTTAATCTTCCATCGCATGACATTGTCATTGGGCTAGCGCAAATGAAAAACAAAAAAGGGTGTACTGCCACAGTCCCCAACTCTCCACATTGGAACCTTCATGAAAAGCTGCGACAGCTGCTGCACTGAAACGGGTCGCAACAAGAAAACCCCGAAACTATCTTCGGTTTTTTGAAAGAGAGGGCGTGGCAAATCCCAAGCACAATTTTCCGCTAGCAGGCCACACTTTACAAATGCCAATCAATCCTATCCTGGATTGTCAAGCATTGTTGTGAACTATTCCTAAATATGCTGGCCCTAACAGTGGGATGTTTTTTCATGAATCCACGCCATGCGTCACACAATGTGATTGCGTGATTGCAG